CGTGTGCTCTTCCGATCTAATTAATTGTGGAATAACAATATTGTTGTAACATGCCATACCAATTAAAAGAATTACAAAACCAATGAGCTACAATGAAAAATTTTACAATGTTTTTTGTTATATATATTAATATTACTAATAATTATTTTTTTAATCATACCTGCATATAATGAAAAACTTGCCATTGAAATGCCAAAGAAAATACCCATATCACAATTGTACGAACACTGTCTAAAATCATTCTCGTTGTAGCACTCATTTCCTTAGTAACGCTAATACCAGCAAAATTAAAAAAAGCAATACTAAATGATATACCTGCAATCCCAAATAATAATTATAAAAACTAATAACTAATAATTCACGAAAGAATCTAAAAAGAAATATATAATAGACTAACCAATAACAGCTATTAATAATTTGTTATTGTTTGCTATTTGGATGAGAGCTTCTACAGTGGCTTCAAGTGTACCACGTGAATTATCCGCAAAAGGCGGTGGCGCAGTAATGTAATTGAGAGGAATTATTGCAATAGAAATACCAATAAATCCAAAAATACCTGTAAAAATATATGCAATAAAATAAAAATAATTATTTAATATTGATTAATTGTAATTAATAAATATTTTAAAAATAGTATCTTAATATTAATATTAACAAAGTGTAAAAAAGATAAAATATACAAACCTTCCCATCCAATTGCTTGTAATGCAGGAATATCCTGCTGTCCCACATACTTCTCTTCGACAACCATTTGAACAGCTGTTATTACCTTTTATATTTAAAATTTTTAAATTATTTTATAAGTGTAAACATATTTATCAATGTATCTTGTATTTTTATTTACACTAAGTAAAAATAATTAAAGTATAATTTTAATTATTAAGTTAATAAATTCATATATGAGCAATATGAATAATAAAAAATATACCTGAGCAAATATAATAAGTAAGTCCCCAGTGATTATAGAATTTGCACTGATATCACTGTTTTCCATTGTTAATATGTCACTAACACCAACAAATGCTAAACCAATTATGACAAAACCGATGCCTATCCATTCTCTTACTCCCAATTTTCTATTAAGAAATCCAATAGAAAACATTCCTGTAAAAACAATTACTGATCCACGCAACATTTGAAAACTACTTGCATAAGTCATATTCAAGCCGATGTACATTATGGATGTTGCAAACATATCACACAGTGCAGGTATCAATAAAATAAAAGGATTAAAAATCCTTGAACCCTTAGTGAGTACATTAGTATCTACAGAGCCATCCTGTGAACAAATTAATATGGTAATTAATTTATTTATTCTCAGAGAACAAAAATCATACTTACACCTCGTTGATTATAATAATAGTAGAAGATTTTAAACGCTAAGAAACAAAGAGCCTCTCCAAAAAACATAAATGATGATTGCATAAAAGGATGATTGAAATGTCTAAGTTGTCCATCTTCACCAAGTACAACTTGTTTATCTGCATATCTAAATTAATTTAAACAGTAATATCTATAAAACTGATCAAGTATTAATTGATAAATTTTCTTTTGTACTGTAATTTTACTCTTTATATATGTATGTATATTAATTATACATGTGTATGTATACATTATTACATTCATAAGTTCATCAGTATCATTGTATACATGTCTATGTACATAATTTTCATATTTATAATAAATATAATACTTACTTAACTGATAAAGTATTAAATGAGCCAGTAACTATTTGAAGTATAGCTAAAGTACGTTGATAATTTGACCACGCCATTGTTGTTTATGAGAAGCAGATAATGACAAACCACTAAATAGATATTTTCTGTTTATATGTGTATGTACATGACTATACACATATAAAACATATGTATTAAAACAATTCAACAGACTTAAAAAAATATTTGTTCTTTGTAATTAAACTTCCAATTCATTCTTTCCTTCAACATCTAATTATAGATCTGTTTAATTGAACTAATGTATATACGTTCGTTGTACTTAAAATGAAATAATTACATTCAAAGTTTAGTGAAAGTGAAAGTATTAGTACAATTCAGTGCAGTGACAAAAAACAAGCTTAATACTGATTTCATTTTAAGTGCAGAAAGTATAGTACGATGTCATAAACACAGATACGCCTACTCAATTCATTTTGGACATTTCAACCGATTTTCATAGTTCGCTTTTAGCATTGAGTAAAAAGAAACAGGAGGGAACCTGAATTATTACAACTGGAATGGACGCAATCTACAATCTGTACTTTGTAGCGTACATTCTTTGCACTTAAAATGAAATAGATACATATTTGATGAATTGGTGTAAGCGAGATAGCTCATTCTATGCTTATTCCTTCGTGCATTTCATGTGCTCCAGGCCTTAAATAAAATGCATAAGGGTGCGTTCCCACTGAGCGCATCACGCGTTGCGTTATCCGAATTGACAAATCAAAACATCCCATTTTATTGCATAATTTGCCGCGCGATCCTGGATTTCATAAGAAAAAAAGATTATTTTATCTCTAGAATATTGAGTAACCTGAGTAATCAATGGCCTAGTTTACACCGAGCACTTGATACGCGTACTAAGTATCAAATCTGTATCAAATCGCTTGATACGGGCTACGGTCCGATTCACGCTCGCAGCGCTCACTGTACTTACAATGCTCACGATTGGTCCGATTTGTTAGTCATGCTCAAAGCGCGTTAACGACAATTTCGTTTCGGACCGCTACAGAATAGGGGCCCCAGATCACATAACCTGTGGATAATCACACATAACCTTTAAAGTGAAAATACAAAGAGGAAAATTACAATAGTGAAAATAGCAATAACGAATAAAGTATATT